GTTCCACACATAGGTGGCCTTGCTGATCTTTAAGGGGCCTTATTCTCTCTCTAGTTACCCTTTTGCCCTTAATGTATTTGTGCAATCCCTTTGGATTTTTCTTAACCCAATTTGCCAAAGCTATCTCATGTCCCCTTTTTGCCCTCCTGACTTCCCTCTTAAGTATACTCCTACTGCCTTTATTTTCTTCTAGGGATTCACTCAATCCCTGCTGTCTATACCTGACATATGCTTCTTTCCTTTTCTTGACCAAAACCTCAATTTCTCTGGTCATCCAGCATTCCCTACACCTACCAGCCTTGCCCTTCACCCTAACAGGAACCAATCAATGCATTGGTGATTATCTTCCAAAATTCTACAGATTCTTCAATGATTCATGTGGATTAAAATGTAACAAATTTCACCACATTATTTAAGGCAGCAAGAGAGAAAACAGAGAACTACAGACCTGAGAGTCTTGCATCAAGAACAGGGAAAGTGTTAGAATCTATTGTAACGAATGGGACAGTTAGACTCTTGGTTGATGATAATATGCTTGGGCATAGTCAGCATGGATTTACAAATGGGAAAATCTACTTAACTTAATTCTATTGAAGTTTTTTGAAGATGTGACTCACAAAAAGCTGATGGACAAAGTATACCGAGATCTTCAAAAGGCTTTTGATAAGGAGACCCACATGAAAGAAAAATTGGAAAGATTAAGGCAAAGGGGATAGGAGGCAATGTACTGGAATGGATTAATAATTGGCTAACAGACAGAAAACAAAGAGTAGAAATAAATGGGTCATTGTTGCATTGGCAGGCTGTGACTAGTGAGGTTCCACAAGAATCAGTACTTGGGCCCTGGCTGTTCACTATACATCAATGATTTGGATTTGGATTTGGATGTGGACCCCGAATGTAATATTTCCAACTTAATGTAATTCAAAGTTAAGTAGGAAATTGTGTTGTTTAAGGAAGATATAAAGCGGCTTCAGGAGAATTTGGACAGGTTTATTGAATGGGCTAGAACATAGCTAATGGAACATAATGTCAAAATTGTAATGTCATCCACTCTGGTATGAGAAACAGATGTGCATAATACTTATTAAATAGCAAGAGGTTAGAAAGTATACATGTATAAAGGGAATACATTTTAAATGTTTTGCTGAAGTCCATATAGACAACATCTACCACTCTACCTTCATCAATCTTTTTTGTCACCTCTTCAAAAAACTCAATTAAGTTAATGAAACATGAGTTCCCACGCATGAAGCCACCTGGGATCTGGGATCAGATATCAGAGGATGCAATCTACCCCATCAGGTTCAACTCTTGTATGTACTATTGTTTTATAACACACATGGTTCCCATTTGCAAGTAAGAAAATTCGACCCATGAACAGGATTCCAGTGGATTAAGATTTTAATGAATGTTCACCAGGACTGGTTGATGAATGAAAGACAGGTTGCCAACCCCAGCTGAAAGTTTGAGAACAAAAAACAGCAAGATTTTCCTTCTCAGAGATAGTAAGAACTGCTGATGCTGGAGTCAGAGATAACACAGTGTGGAACTGGAGGAACACTGCAGGCCAGGCAGCAGAGGAGCAGGAAAGCTGACGTTTTGGTTCGGGACCCTTCTTCCTTCTTCCAAATCAGAAGATTTTCCTTCTGATTTCTTCGCTCCCATCCAGATGATTTCCCCTTCCTGTCCCTTCTGAAATGTTCTGGCAGGTCCAGAATACTCAATGCTTAGAGATATGAAATACCTAGTCTTTGGGATTTTTCCTGATATGGTTGACTCTAAAATGCCATCTGGCAATTAGGAATGGGCAACACATACTGGCCTAGTCAATAACACCACATCTCTTGAACAACAAAAAACCCACTGACTTTCCATAAGTGACCCTAATGTCACTCCATGACAGACAGGAATTATAATGTTTATATTTAAAGGAATGTGTATGATCAGTTTTTCTTATTCTTACGAGGGAAATAATTGATTAAGAAGCCCTATGCTGAGAAGTAGGGCACATAGAGGACATGGGCAGCAAATACCGGCGAACTTCATCACCTGCAAGTTCCGCTCCAAGCTACTCACCATCCTGACTTGCAAATATATCACAGTCTCTTCACTGTTGCTGGGCCAAAATCCTGGAATTCCCTCCCTCAAGGTATTGCGGGTCTACAAGAGCACGTGGATTACAACGGTTCAAGAAGGTAGCTCACCACCACCTTTTCAAGGGCAATTAGACATGGGCAATAAATGCTGGCCAGCCAGTGACACCACATCCCATGAGTCAATAAAAAGAGTCAACCATGTCTTCTTAATAGATATGTAAGCATTGCCACATCAGGTACAAATAGAGGTGGAGGTGAAGTATACCAAAGTGGCAGTTCATTTAAATGCAGAGCACTATGTAAGTCAGGCATTGTAAGTGTTGAAGTCAGCATCTAAGCAGGGACAGAACTACGCTGCTGTATTTTCTTGAAATGATAAATCTGCATGTTCTACTAGTGGCAATAGTGTCTATTGTTAAGACAATCAGCTGCAATGTTCATGGGGCAGACAATCCAGCCTGGTTAAGGCAGAATGCATACAGCTTGAATGTGCTGCATTTCCATTGCTGCTTTTTATCTGAGGTTGATTTTAACCTTTAGGCAACTAACCAGCTGGTCATAACACAAATGTCCCCACCTCATTTACAAGGCCAAGCTGTGTGCACAAACCGTGCCTTGATGAAGCCCACTGGATTGATTCCTAAAAATGACAATTTAATTATTGGGCTGAAACACCAAATGAATTTTAAAAATAAACTAAAACAGCATTCCAATGACTTAAAACAGCAACTTCAAAGGTGGGCACATATTTTCATGGCCATACCTTACATATTAAAATGGAGTCAGTTGGTCTAGAAAAGCCAACCAAAGGCAAACACTTTGGAGGAGTATGAATGAACTAAGACCTGATCAATCACAAAAACAATAAAACAATGCAGATATTCACCCATGTATTCAACAAGGTGGGGTCAAACTGAAATAACTCCACAGAGGACCCTATCCAACACCATGTCACCCTTTATTTACACATGAATTGGCATTGACTTTACTACTGCCTTATTCAGAGTCAGGTACCAGAGACCTTCTGATCAGGATGTGTCCTGAATTAGGCTATGCAATTGCCTGCATTCAAATGGTGTTCCCCACGCTAAGTCAAACTGGCGAGGGTGTCCACTTCCATCAAAATACCCTGCAACTCATCTGCTCCACTTGCTGCATTTTCCAATGATGAAGCCAATTGTAGCGCCTGTTTGAAGTCCAGTTGGGCTTCAGCTGGTAGACATTTAGGCATAGTTACATCATTAATCTCACATACCAAACAATCTCTCAGCTTCTCATTAAGGGTTAAACCAATGTCACAGTCTTCTGCCAGTTGTCTCAATGTAGTCAAAAAACTTGATCAGATTCCCCCGGTTCTTGAATTTCCAAGTAAAAGCAACAATATCTCAGAATTAGAGGGATCACAATATTCCTTAATTATGTCTGTCAATTCTTGAAATGTGTTAGTATCTGGTGCCTCTTCCTAATAAGAGAAAAAGCTCTAGCTCCACAGACTGTCAGAAGAATTACTCATTGGTTTTCATCTGGCACTTGCTTGGAAAAAAAAATGCATTCTTTCCACATACTGGGCCCAGTCCATGACAGCAGGGTCGAATGAGTCAAGCTTCCAAAATAATGGAATGACGTAATACCTACCCAAACTCAAAGATGACTGTTGCAAGCAAGCTTCTTCAGGATCATGCTTTACTCCCGTCACCACTGAAATAACTCCACAAAACATTTGGATAATGGACTTTGGCTGAGAAAGAATTCATCCAGCCATCATCTATTCATGTCTAAACTATGGACCTGGAAACAACATGCTATGAACATGTTTGGGTGACAGGTCAGTTGTCAAGAGGAGATCATGTGATGAGACAATTAATCCCCCTTGATCGTGTTTAAGAAACCACTTTTCCCTAGGCTTCAGAACAGGAAGCAGTAACACCAAGAAAGCAAACCCTCTTAGTGAGGATGCAAAAAAAGTTGCTGGTAAAGTTCAGTAGGTCTGGCAGCATCTGTGAAGGAAAAAACATTTCAGGTCCAGTGACCCTTCCTCGGAACATAGTTTGATTATGTTTTTGTTCCTGATTTACAGCATCCGCAGTTCTTTCAGTTTTTATTCAGTGGATGACCAACGTTTAAACCCATTGCATTCATATTCAATCACATTGTAAGTGTTAACCAGCCTCATATAGAGATTCTTGACACCCCATTAACAACAGGCAAGTAAAAAGTGAAAGAGGCCCATGGTGTGAATTCCTACTGCCATATACAAATCTTACAGTCTCGTTTCAACAGTCCATCACACCTCAGTGACAATTATATCACAGCTTCAACACATTAAAACTTTGATACATTGCCTGCAGTTAAAAAAATAAATGATACATATTCTTTTCAGGGCATGTTTAACCATTCCTGTCAACAGATTTGAATTTGGGAATCTGACATTTACTTTCAAAATATTAAAAGCCACTCTCTCATTTGAGAAGTACCTGGAAATCCCATCACATGCAATCTATGACCATGCAGTTAATTTTACATTGAACAACAGTTATGCGTTGCCATTTAGAAAGACAAGGACAACAGACACATAGGAACACCACGAGCAGCAAGTAGACTGACAAGACCCAAGTGAGACAAGTCCTGACTTGGAACTATATCACTGATACTTCACATTCTCTAGGTCACAATCTTGAAAGTTCCTTGCTAATAACATCGCAGGAATACTTATAGCCAGAGAAACAGTAATGGTTCAAGCTAACAGCTCACCACCACTTGCTAAAGGGCTATTAAAGACAATGAATGTTGGTCTTGTCAGTGATGCTCACATCCCAAGGGCAAATTAAAAAAATACTCTATTGACAAAGCAAATTTGAAACACACATTTATGTGCCTGGACACGCAATGTTTAGAACTTACCCTTGAGTCTCTCGACCTGTAATTTTCTTTGACAAGGCTTGATAATAAGGCAGTTTCTTGAATTTCTCTGATCCCACGGCCACATAATATTTGTTGTTATCTAATTCAGCTGCGCCTAGCAATGCTCTTCCATCTAATGTGCAGAGTCTGAATGTGTACAAAAAAAGGAGAGTTTTAATCCCTTTAATCTTTTAAAGTTATTTTTGGGTGATTATCTTTTTATGTATCAAGAAAAGGTATGAGGTCAAAGAGATGGAGAATTTTTTTAAATCAGCAGAGAATTTTCACGATTCTGCCAATCACCTGATGTAAACTCTATACACGTTTATACTATTTTTATAAATTATACCTGAAAACTCTTGCATGCACTCTAAGTATTCTTAGCTACTGTCAAGATCAAGTACTTTAAAGTCAAAAGTAATATAGAATAAACAGAAGTCATTTTGTTGATTTTCTCACTAACTGCCCTGACATTAAGCACTAGACTTTCTATTTTTCCCTCAAGACAATTCCAGGGCAGCATCAAGAAAGCAGTGTCTTCATGCTGTGGGTCCTCCATTCTAATTTCTTCTCCTTTAAGCCTGGAATTGAGCATTCTCAATGTGTACCTGAGAGGGATTTTTGGCTTTACACATGCATTAATGCATCTTCAATACCAGTATTGGAAAACTACCTCCTACTGTAGGCACTTCCATTTCTGATGGCACCAATGGTACTCTTCATTTTAAATTTCTTACTTCAGAGATGTAAATGGTTTGCAAATCTCCCATTGTGAAAAGGCAGATTCATTGCAAAACCCCATGAGAGGAATTAGAATTTGGAATAAAGGATGCTAAGATAGATTGCTTGGCAGTTCATAAGCATCTGAAAGAGAAACGGAGAGGTTAACGGATCTGATGGGGCCCATATCAGACTCCTTGAGCAGATTACAATAAAGGATTACAGTCAAAACATTAATGTATCTTGCTGTTTCAAATGTTAATTAACCTGCTGTGCATTTCTCGTTTCAATATTATATTCTCCAAAAACTAATGGCATATCCCAAAAGGAGTAGAAGAAATTTGTCAGGCTCACTCCTTTGAGAACTGGCTGACTTTTACTGCCAGCCTCCATGATAAATAACACATTAGAAAATTAAAATGAAATTGCAGCTAAATAAGATCATTAGCAAATATAAAAGCATATTCCCAAGCATTGCCCAAACATTAAAGAAAAAGTCTCTTGATATTATGCCTGACTTTGGTTCCTCCTCTGTTGATGGATGTTCTCCATCCAAGCTAATCCTTTTTGCAAAGTCAAATTCCTCAAAAGCAGAGTAGTTGCCTTCTCCAAATAGCAGAGCAGCTAAGTGTAGTACTACACAGTGAGCACAGTATCCTTGTCTTAGCATCCTTAAAACTCACTTACTCATTACTCATGTGATTAAAAGAATTCACGACATGCAGAAACAAAGCAGCAAAAACTGTGGATGCAGGAAATCTGAAATAGAAGCTGTCATTTGCTGGAAAACACTCACAACCAGTTCAGGCAGCATGTTCACCTTCATTGCAGATACTGCCTGAATTGTTGCATGTTTCCAACATTTTCTCACAACACACAGTTCCCATCAATAAACCCTTTCTCCAAAGGAAAGGAGAAATGCTTATAGATTGGAGCACTTCACTCAGGGGAAAAAAAAAACACCCCAGCATGTTACTGTGTTGACCAGTCTAGTATATAATATTTATTCACTAGTAGAACAAACAATTCTCCTCCTTCGACCAGGGTTAGGACTTATGGTGGTTTTCTACTGTTATGCAGGAACATTTTAACAAACTTGGCTGGGGGCCCTAAAAATAGAATATAGCATTAGAAAAGAGAAACAAGACACACAGAGTTGGGAAATACAGATGGCATTATAATAAGAACTGGTAAGACATATGGTGGCTAAGAGTAAGAAGAAATGTAATAATGTCTAAGTTAGGGTTCAAGTGTATGCATGCAAAATAAATAAGTTTGGGGAGATGTAGATAGCCAAATGGAAAAACAACATTGAAATAACTGCAAATGAGGCCGGTATCCTGTCACCTTGTATTTACACGTGCACAATACATGGCCTCTGACCAGCCAGCTCTGAGCCAGTCCCTAGAAAAAGGGGACTGTCTGAACCTCCTTTTTATATCTGTCAGCCAGGGGTCCCTGATTGCACCAGGTTAACAGCCCTAATCAAGGATCTCACAGTAAATGAGATCCACCTGGCCCTCATTCTAATCACTGCAAATATCATGATAACAGATCTGGTTCAAAAAAGGGGATAACTGAGCCAGTATATTTTACAAACCACCAATTAGCAGAAAAGATAGAGGAACAACTTTGTTCCAAAATTGCAGAGAAATGCAAAAGTAGCAGTGTAGTTATATCGGAAGACTTTTATATACTCTAATATAAATTGACATAATAAAAGTGTAAAGACCAGAGAGGGAGAAGAGATTCTAAAGTATGTTCAGGACAATTTTCTTGAACAGTCTGCTTACAGTGCAATAAGGAAGGAATCATTGATGGATCTCATTCTGAGGATTAAGATGGATCAATAGGGGTCTATTTAGGGAGTAGTGATCACAGAACCACTAGCTTTAGGTTAGCTATTAAAAAGGACACAACACAATCTAAAGTTAAAATGCTTAATTGGAGGAGGCCCAATTTCCAAGGGACGAGAATTAGCCCAAGTGAATTAGAAACAAAAATTGACTCGCAAAGCTTTATAATACAATAGGCTGTGATTCAGGTATAGTTGAGGCACATTACAATGATGGGGAAAGGCAGGATATGCAAAGCTAAACTCCTTGCATAGAGAAATAGCAAAGCGGAAAAATGGTGCTTATGATAACCATCAGGTTAATAGTGCAGACATGAACCGGGGTAGCACAATATTTAGCACTGCCGCCTCACAGCACCAGGAACCCAGGTTCAATTCGACCTTCAGACGACTGTCTGTGTGGGGTTTACACATTCGCTCCATGTCTGTGTGGGTTTCCTTTGGGTGCTCTGGTTTCCTCCCATAGTCCAAAGATGTGTAGGCTAGATGAATTGGCCATGCTAAATTGCTATAGTGTCCAAGGATGCGTAGGTTAGGTGGGCTATCCATGGGAAATGCGGGGATAGTAAAGAGGGGTCAATCTGAGTAGGATCTTGCTCTTTAAAGAGTTGGTGTGGACTTGTTGGTCCAAATGGCCTATTTCCACACTGTAGGGATTCTATTAAACACAAATACTGATTCTATTAAAGAATATAGCAAATTCTGAGAGGACAAGCAGAGAAAGGCTGAGTGAGAGTATGAGAAGAGATGCAAACAGCTAAAGTTAAAAGGAATCCAAAAGGCATTTAATTAGTAAAAGGTAGTGAAATGGCCAGAGAAAAAAAGATTAAGGATCACAGAAGCAATGTACTATCAGAGGCACAGGGCATTATGAAGGTACTAAATTTGAACTTTGCATTTCACTTTACTAAGGAGAAAGATTTTGAAGTTATTGTGTAAGAGGTGATCATTGAGATCTCAGCTGGGCTAAAAATTGATAAAGTCGAGGTATTAGAAAAGCTGACACCATGCAAAATTCATATAATTTCAGGTCCTAATGGGATGCATCCAAGTGACTGAGGAAAATAAGTGTGGAAATGCAGAGGTCTCGCCACAATTTCAGATTCAACCAGCAAAATAGAAATTGTGAAGTTATGTAACAATCATGTTAACCCATTTCAGCTGATCACCTTATATAACAAATTCCAATATTTCCTAACGTTTTTGTGACGGCTTCTGCCAAAGTTAGACCGATTCTTAGGCATATCCAACATTCTTGACTTTTAACAAGGAATGGTAGCATTGTGCTAATGTTGCTGGCAAAATAGAGGCCTGGGCTAATGAGCTGGAAACTTCAATTCAAATTCAAACATGGAAACAGGGGGAATTTAAATTCAATTACAAAATAATTTTAGAACATGATGCTAATCTTACTAACAATTATCACGAAACTGCTTGATTATTATTTAAAAACCCACTTGGTTCACTAAAGTCCTATAGGGAAGCAAGTCTACCTGCAGGTGACTGCGGAGGCATGACAATGTGGTTGACTTTTAACTAACCTCTCGCAAGCCAATCAGTTGTATCAATACTCTACAGAAAAAAAAAGTACTATGCATATTCCTACACTGCACAGACTGCAGCAGCTCTACAAAGCAGTTCACCAAAACCTTCTCAAGGGTAATTAATGTCGGACAATTAAAGCTAGCAATGCTAGCAATGTTCACATCCCAAGAATGAAGAAGAATGGACAAGCCACGAATTTGTTACCGTTTATTAATAATGACCTAAAAGGAAATGGCACCTACAGTAGCTCACAGGCAACTTGAACATTGTCCCAGGCTCCATTTTTACGTGAAGTAATATGCATCCCTTTCAAAATCCATTAAAAGTAGCTCATATATCCTCATCAGCAAAATAATTGTTAAAACATAAGGACCACAAGGCCATAAGACATTGGAGAAGAAGTTGGCTGTTCGACCCATCAAATCTGCTTCACCATTCAATGCAATCATGCCGAATGTGAAAATCCTCAATTCCACATTCCTGCCTTTTTTTCTTCCATAACTCTTGAATCCCTTACTAATTAAAAATCTGTCTATCTCAGCCTTGAACATACTTAATGCCCAACTTTACAGACTTGCGTGGTAAAAAAATCCCACAGATCCACAACCGTCTGAGAGAAGAAATTCTCCCCCATCTCTGGAGTGACCCCTTACTCTGAGGTTAAGTCCTCTGTTCCTTGACTCTCTTACAAGGGAAAACAACCTTTCCACATCTAACCTGTCACGTCTCCTAAGAAAATCATCCTGTTGCATTCCATTTCAGTCCCAATACCAAGTAAATGATCCAAAAACTTTAAAGTAGCTTTACAGAAAGCACAATTACTGACCTGTGGAGTTGATTTTAATGAACTAAGATTAGTGTTAATGAACCAGTAACGACTTTAAAATGGGATTGATTAATTTCCAGATACTCTAGCCATCACTTTTAAAGTGGACATCGCATAGAGGACTTCATAATCTAATTCTTTACTGTGAAAATTTGAATTCTATGTTGTAATTTGTACTTAGATTACAATTTTGATATACAT